CGCGTCGATATTACCCGTCTTAGCCGGCGAAGGGAGAAGGGGGCGGAGGAAGAGAGGAAATATAATGAGCGGCGAGATTTCTTTCGGTCGTATCGCTCAATTGATTAATAAGCGCATTCAGAGGTCGATGCCGTCTATTAAGGCGTTAACGACGATATAACGACGATATAACGACGGGCCGAGACCGTCGGCGGCGAAGCGACGACGGTCCGGCGCGATCCGACAGTGCAGGAGAGAGAATTCCGCCCGGGCGATAACACCGACGATAAGCGGCGCGCGGCTATAGAGCCGCCGAGGGTACGCTGGGACGGGGCTATTATGGGATTATAATGAAAGCACGACGAGACGAGGCGGCCGGAAAATTGGATATCTCGCGGCGATTTCAAGGCTGCGCGCAGGTGCATAAGAAGGTGCATTGATGACTCGCGTGTGTTCGTGCGCAGCGCGTTTTCGATCGAAGCCGGCATCCTCGTTCGCCTGATTGTCGTCGTCGTCGTCGTCGAATGTATCTTCTCCGTTTCTTCGCACTCATCTCTTCGACGACGGAGCGGTTCGAAGACACCGCTGATATCGCCGACGCGACGCGACGCGCCGGTCGAGAGCGCGCTGTGATAACACCGCAGCTACGATAACATACCGTACGGCGCAACGAAAGCATCGGTTTATACCTGCTCCATCGGCGAACAATCGAGATCGAGACGCACACGAGGGAGACCGACGTGTCGCCGCAACCTGACTCAACACTCCGTCAAGCCGATGTCACATCCGCTGACTCATCCGGTGCTCCGATCCGAGCGACACACACGGACTCTCCGCGGCGCGGCGCGATAAACAAAAAATTCCTTTCCACGGCCCCGCGCGCGAGAGTGCGCCTGTCCCCTAATTCCCACGGGCACCGAATGTGCGTGCGTAAGTAGCCGGCCGTGTAAGCGCGACGTGTGCCCAATCAATCAGCCATTATTTCCTCGGCCCCAGACACGTCTATTAATTCGACGGTTCAGCCTGGGCTCAGGACGGACAATCAAATAAGAAGCCCAGAAGAGAGCGTGTGTAAGCGTATACACGACACGCGGATACCGCGAAAGGTCGAGTCGAGACTACGTACTGATCACGTACTGATAATAAAAATGAAGATAACGAGAGCTCGTTCGGTAGCAACGATCAGCAGCAGCAGGCAGATGTGTGCCGGACGAGCCGCGGCGAGAGACCAACGGTGAGATCCTGCGGTGCCTATTGAGAAGCGGCGGTCCTGACATCGCGTGGAACACAGAAGCGGGACGTACGCGTGGGCTGTGCTCTCGCGTTATACTTTTTTGTCGCGTTCCTCGCTCTTCTCTCACTCTTGCAGCGACTCTCGCATTGTATTGGCCCTATTTCGGCCGCGGGAGAGAGAGAGAGAGAGAGAGAGAGAGTGAAGACATCTGCTCCCTTTCTCGTTGTCGAAATTGACGAGGATAACGCGGCGGCGCGAAAATAATAGGCATCGGGCTGCGAGCAGCGACCGTGCGCGCGTGTCCCGCATGCGTGAGCAGACGCGCGCACGTGCTCGCGCGCTGAAAAGCGAGCGCGTCATAAGGGCAACCGGGAAAGTTAGCGACGACCTCGAAAAATGCGCGGACGGATCTCGCCGTCGCCGTCGCCGTCGCCGCCGTGCGGCTTCTATTTTCGGCGCACGCTCGCAGGCGCGTGCACCCTCGTAAACACACGACCGACGAGGGCGAAAGTAGTAGGAAGCGGCGCCGAGGAGCGCGCACGAAAGACGATGCTGAGCAAGGGAGAAACGATTTCGTCGCCGGCGAAAGCGAGATCGATCGACGGTGACTTGCGTCCGGCAGGAAAACACTCGCTCCGCGATTCGCGGGTCTGATCAGTGTGCGTGTGTGTGTGTACTTTTAATCTTGGACGAATCAAGCGAAGAGCGCATACCAGCAGCAGACCTGCGACTGTTTCGCGACTGTCGTGGGGTAGTTTTCGCCGGCGAATGCAGGCAACGGGTCATCAGGAGAAAAAGCGCAGATCGCGTCCGATCTCGTGCGCGGATCTCGGCTAAATCGCGCGGAGCGTTCAGCGCGCCGCGAGGATAAAGCTGCTCTTTTCCTCGGAGCCTGTGCGCGCCGCGCGAACGAGAGAAAGGCAGATGTGGGCAAGTTAACGACCTGTTATCGCGTGGACGGCGGCGCGGAGCCGCCGTCGTTGCTGAAACTGGTTGCTGCCGATCGCGCGGAGCGGCGCGGATCGGCGGGGGTTGCCGATCGGCGGGACGCGCGCGCGCGCGCGATGCAACGAGGAGGAGCGGCCACGAGCGCGAAGAGACGAGACGAGACGAGGCGAGGCGAGGAGAGGCGGGACGAAAGAAGAGCCGCGTTTCTCGCGAGAGGAGCGTTTGACGGAGCCGCGGCCGAGCGAGCCGGTCAACACACAAAGTGCGTCCTCACCGGTGCAGGTGCACCACAATGCAGGTCGTGCAAATGCCAGGCGCGTGTCTCGGCGCGGTAACGGCGCGCGGAAAAGTCGGCGCGGTAACGGCGCGCGGAAAAGTCGGCGCGGTAGGCGAAGCCCGCGACGGGCTGGGCATTTGCACACAATACTCCGAGTTAATTAGCGGCGACGTAATCGGCGAGCTGACGTCGGTTTCAACTGCCGATCGAGTATGTACTTCCGCCGCGACGGGATTACTTCGTCCCGGCGGTTGCCCGTCAAGATTTCGGTTGCAGTCGCTTTCTTCTCACGGCCACGTTCTTCTCTCGCGATGCGGCCGAACTTGCGCAGTAGCCGAGCTTGTGACGGAAGTGAGACAGCGTGCAGAGACGTCCGACACGTCACAACTGCGGGGTTGCGGGGGGGATTCAGGAAGAACGTACGGCACTTGTGATACTCTTATCTACCACACGGAGATATTAATATTCGTGCACCGAGCAGCAGGCTAACTTGTCCGGCTAAGATGCACGACTGCTCGGAGCATTGAAGATTGTGCGCGAAATTACGTATGGTATGCAGCATTGTTTGTAATAATAAACTCGTCAACGGTGGCACGCAATTTTGACTGTTTGATCTCACCGGAAAGAAATGTATCTAGACCGCTGTCCTGCGGCTAGGTTGTACAACGCGCGTCGGACGTCGAAAAAATGACGCAATGTCAGAGATATTCCACCGTGGGAGGGGTCATCGAGGCCGGAGGGATGAAATATCCAAGAGCACAAGTTGCCGGTCGCAGCAAGTGGCGAAAGAACGTAATAATCGAGACACGTTTTCCCAACTGCGGGGCCGGTTCTCGTATTTTCTCGGGCCTTTCTGCGCTCAACCGTTGGCCGAGCGACAGCAATCGCTTCCGTGGAAGCCTTGACTGCGTTCCAAGCGCGCGCGAGCGCGGCAGGTAGAGGCCTGCTATGCAAAATCGGCACAAAGGCAAAAGGATGAAAAAAGAAGGGAGAAACAGACCGGGCAGTCGAGCATCCAAGACACAAGTTAGCGAGAGCGCGCATCTCTCTCCTCTTCTTCCTTCGCTCCCCTTCGCCTCTCTTCTCTCCCCCCCCCCTTCGTGCTTTCTTTATTCGTTCTAGCGCGATCGCAAAGAGCAAATCCACGAGTGAACAAAAGACTCCTCTCGGCTTGGCCGCGGGAAACTTGGATGACGCGGTGAAAAGATTCCCGTTGTCAGGCCGGACATCGCGTTTCGTCGCAAACAATCGTTCTGTCACAATGTCGCGGGGATCTTCGACTCCTTTGTGCAGGATGCTACTACGATAAAGCGATTAAAGTTGGAATTAAATACCTTCACGGAGGCGAACCCTCTTCTCGCGAGGGCGATCGCTAATAACGCTGCTCCGCCCCAATTCATTGCACGCTCCGGGGTAGAACCTCCCTTCCGCCCTCTCGAGCGTGAAAATTGTAACATAATGTATATAAAGCGGATACACCAAAAAAAAAAAAAAAAAAAACATGACACAAAGAGAGCGAACAAAGATATGCCACATGAAAGAACACGAAGAAATTCAACAATTGTAGCGGTGAATGTTCAACCGACAGCGAATATTACGGGCTAACAAAAAGGCCCTTGATTAAATTAATCAATTAACACGATTCAAGAGGAGAGAGAGGGGGCAGAGAAATATGATCCCAGCGGCAGGATATGACTGTGAAATAAAATGTTTTTAACAGGACGGCACGAGTAAGAGGGCTCGCGCGATTTCGTGCTCAGGTCGAAGCACGGGCGCGAAAAAGGTCGACTGGAAATCGCACGTACGTACAGTTCGATCGTTCGGGGGTTAAGTACGACCATCGCGAGCAGATGGTGGGGCACGGAATCAAGATGGCGTAACGACCGACCGGTCGCCGCCACGTTCTCCGAGGGATCGTTCAGTCACGCTCACTCACGCTCACGCGGCTGTAAATTCCGGAAAGCTCAGCGGTTGGAGACTCAGGTCGGCCCGACGCGACGCGACGCGACTGGAATCTGAAGGGCGCGCGTGCGGAGCTCGTCCTCGGGAAGGACGCGCCTCGAGAACGCGGGACGCGACGTCCTCGAGGTCTCCGTCGAGCACGCTGGCGCCGGCCGCTATATCGATTGCCGCTCCGACTGCCCATTTTCAAAATGGCGCGGGGGGTACGCTTGAAATCCAAACGGCTCGCGGAGCGCGACTATGCAGCGGCGGATGCGATCCGTCTCGCGGCGTTTTCCGCTGCGCGAGAAATGACGATTATGACTTTTCCCGGCGAGGAAATCGTTAGGGCGAATCGAGGACGAGGATATATGCGGACGAGTGACCGACCGACGTACGTACGTACGTACGTATGTACGCACGCGCGCGCGCACGTCGGCGAAAAACTTTGGTGGACGCGCAACAGTTACTTTATTAAGGCAACTGCCTCATGACGAATTTCTCGGAGAAAGACGAAGGAATGAGGGTTCAAGAAATCGCCCATAGGCGAGGCTCGATTCGGCGGCGCACCGAGAGACGCGACGGGATCACTCGTCGTCTCACCTAGCTGGCGGTACTCACCTCTCGACCGTCGTCAAAACGAAGCGACGAGTGCTCCGAAAGATCTCCTTCGCGACGAGAAAGCAACGGTGGGGCGGCTGCGCGCACTTGGTATAATATAAATCCGTCCGACCGATCCCTCGAGATCCTGAGGGCTGGTCCTCTGGTGGCACGATGCGCGACCACAGAGCGTCTCTCACAGGTTTCGTACGTTAACGAGCGAGACGCGGCGCGCGTGTTCACCACGGGACGGGGAGAGAACGCGCGGATACACCGTGTATGCGTGCGTGCGTGCGTGCGTGCGTGCGTGCGTAGGAAGAGAGAGAGAACTGTGTGTGGCCTCTCTATCTTTTTCTCTTCTCTCTCTCTCTCTTTCTCTCTCGTGCAGCGTGACGGGCAAGAGGAACTTTTTTCAGCGGGAGCGCACTCGCGAACCCATCCACTTGGCTTGGTAACGCGCGACCGACTGGCGTGAGCGCGGAGGGGAAGCGGCGTCCGTCTGTCCGTCCGTCTTTCTGTCACCAGCACGTTGCTCGCTCACTCGCACCAACTGCTACTTCCCTCTCTCCCTCACACTGTGTCTTTCTCTCCCCCTCTCTTTTTCGTTCACTCCCTCCTGTCGTTCTTTCAGGATATCTCTCTCTCTTTCTCTCTCTCTCTCACTCCCTCTCTCTCTTTCTCTTCCCCTCCCTCTCTTTCACTATCACCCGTCCCTGTCTCTCGACTCTCTGTCTCCTATCCTCTCTTCTCTGCCGCTCTCTTCCTCTTTCTCCCTCCTTCCTCCGCCCTGGTCTTTCCACTTGCTCACTCTTTCTCTCTTTCCCTCCCTCGGCACGCACACCCTACGCCGCGTCTCCTTCTACCTTCCGAGCGCTTCTCTCTCTCTCTCTCTCTCTCTCTCTCTCTCTCTCTCTCTCTCTCTCTCTCTCTCTCTCTCTCTCTCTCTCTCTCTTCCCCGTGGGCCCGCACACCGGCCGCCACTCGTAAATGGCAGGTACACGTCGATACCCCGATCGAGAAATCGCGGCAGGATACCCCGGGGAGCGGCCGGCGGTCGACTCTATCAGAGAACGTCCTCGCGGAAGGATGCACGAAAGTGCGCGGCTCTGCGTGCACACGCGGGACGAGTAGTCACGAGACGACGACGCGCGGCCGGGTCTCTACAGTCGGGTTAATGATCGATCGGCTCCTCTCTCACGCCGGGTAGCGGCGAGAGATACCGCCGCCGCTCCTTTGTCGTACCGCTTAGCTCCCTGCGTTTCGGCGCACTGCGTGCTACGCGCGTGATGCGTCGCTGCGACGAGACAACGCGTTTGTCCTTGGTCCGACGACGACGACGACGACGACGGCGCGGCCGAGGATGCACCGGAGTGGAAGCGGTCGAAGAACGGCGCGACGCGAATCAATCCTCCATGCGAGACCGAGCTGCTCCCCGATTTGATCGTTTTTGTGCGCCGCGCGAACGACAAAAGCCGGCCGGACGGTCTCTCTCTCTCTCTTTCTCTCTCTCTCTCTCGCTCTCTCTCTCTCTCTCTCTCTCTCTCTCTCGCCCGTTCTCTTTTTCTCTCTACCGCGAGAGTTCGAACACGCGCTTCGTCGCGGCCTTTTCCTTCGCGGCCACCACGATCCGTACACACCGGCACGATCCGCACCGCTCGACCGTCAGATAAAGAATGAGCCGGGTGAACGGCGGCGGCCGGCAGGGATGTAACGGGCGAGCCCGGCGCCCCGGGATCCCGTTCGAGTGGTGGCAGCCCTGCCACGACGACTCCAGCTAAACTCGAAGCGAGAGAGGGCGAGGTACTACGAGCCGACCGACCTGTAGGGCGGGGCCCTGTGTTACGAAGGGTTATTTACCTAGGGACACACCGACCGACCGAGAGCTCCGGAGAGTATTGAGGAAAAGCCACGTTTTTCGGGTTCACGATTATCTTCAGGGCCTTTTGGGATCTAACGATACCGCAATCTGCAGGAAGTACAAAGTCGTGCGAATGATCGAGTCGATATTTCGCCGGGCGTTCGCGCGATATTACCAGAGAACTCTGCGCGAAATTTGCGCCCAATAACGCTAATGCGACCTGATATCCCGGCGATAACTTATTATTCGTCTATATCTATCCCAACTTCCTCCGAGCGACCCTCTTGCCGGGATCGGGGGACCTTTGATGAACGTTTTACGTCGCGGAGAAGCGAACGGGGGGGATTAAGTCGCGTTCCTGCAAATCGAACAAGTTCCTCCCTCCTTTCTCGGATTGTTTGACTCCCGAAACTGCTTTCCCGCCGTCTGGACTAAATTTCAGTTAAGGACCGTAGATAACGATCCCCTAAAGCCCACGTTATCCCCGATAACGACGCAAATAGCTGGCAATCTCCCTGTGACTTCTCTTTTATTCCTCTTTCTTTTTCTCATCGGGCCGTATATCTCCGGGGGTCGTGATCTCGTTTTGCGGCTATCGCGACATTTGCGCGGAAAACTCGCCACACCCTGTGTGTGTGTGTGTGTGTGTGTGTGTGTGTGTGTGTGTGTTGGCCGAAAACGCGCGACGCGCATCACCTGTCCCGACGTGCATCGAGAACACTTACGTGTTCTAATAAACCGTTACGTCATTCATGTGCCGAGCTCTCAAACGAAACTCGTGTCGCCGTAGCACGTCGCGCGTCTCCTTTGTATCGCGCAGCAACGTGAGAGCACCGCGGACGCGTTCTCGATAAACCAATTCCGAAAAATCAATCGATCACGCCGCAGAGCCCGCCCGGCCTCGCGTCATGATACCGCGAACTTCATCGTCTCTCCTGATATCGTTCTGCGAATCGCTCGCGAGGACGATTAGAAAAGCACGATTATCGTCGATAATCGCCGCCGCGATTGCACAGTGCACCACTACTACCTGGAAATCAGCGGTCATTTGGGCAACTACAGCGATCGCTCGAGCGAAACGAGACACGCGTTGTTGTACGCTCACGCGCGGCATAGGCCGCGGTAGCTCTCTCAGGCCTCGAGATTACGAGTCGCCTTTCGCCTCTCGTGGCGAGAAGCCGATGACTAATGCGCGAAAAGCGGCGACAGGGAGGAACTCGCTCGCTCGAGCGAGAGAAACGCCGCCACGACGTTGGATTACGTCGGGGCACGACAGGAATTTCGGGATTCGCAGGTCACGAACGTGTGTGGACACGCTACCGAGCATACGCCGAACAGAAAGACGAGACTCGGAGGAAACAGGAAATCGACCGATAACGTTTATCCTTCAGCGATAAGAATTGGGAGATTAGAGATCACTAAATATTTCTCGGCGCGAGACACGCGTCGCATAGGCGAATAAAAATATATATCAAATCGCGGGGAAAGACGCGATGGGGCCCATTTGCGCGATCGTGATAACGCGTCGCGCGACGGAGTGGGATTTTCGCGCTCGGAGAGCACCGACGTCGAATAGCAATAATTTTTACGCGACTGTGTTATTAATCCGCCGCAATTTTCCCCGCTCTTCAATCTCTCGCGCGCCCCGGTGTGCCTTCAGCTCGCTCGCTCGCTCGCTCGCTCTCTCTCTCTCTCTCTCTCTCTCTCTCTCTCTCTCTCTCTCTCTCTCCCCCCTCCCTCTCTTTCTCTCTCTAGGTGCCGCTTGCCGCTGCCGCTGCGGCTCCTCGCTGCCACGCCCATGAGAAATCGTTTGGGCGAACTCCCTCGCGAAACAGCGAGCTATCTCCTACCCACGTAGACGCACTTAATGCAGAAACGCAAATATTTCCGCCGCGCCGGTTCGACCGGCAGTCTCGTCCGCGAGGCGGAGAAATGAGAAACGAGCGCGCGCGCTGCGCCGCGCCGCGCCGCGCGAACGCACGCGCTCCGTCTGTCTCTTCCACCTCGGTCTCATTTATCCCGGCACGATGACGCGGCATTAAAGAGCCCACGTCCGTGCCGCACGGCGCAACCTTTTGCTGCGAATCCGTTGTCCGATCTGTCACGATCTCGTGCGCTAATGGCCGCGACTATGCTAATCCGCGCGGCTGCACAGAGTGCGCGCCGCAGCCTCTCCTCGTGTATAATTAGACGGGAGAGATAATTTCTGATTCTCGCGCGCGCGAGAGAGAGAGCACTCCGTACGACGGCTTACTAATTAAATGCAATTACCCGTTGGCAAACAAGTTCGATTCCCCCGTGATCGGTCGTTGGCAATGCGAAACGTTTATTAACTCCGCTCCGAGCTCGTCCACACCGCACTCTCTGTGTGTGTCAGAGATTCTTGAATTTTATATCGGAGGTCAAGTGGGGTGAATGGGAGGGAAGGCGAGACCACCGGGGGTAAACAGGACGAGACAATATGATTTCGCAATCGTATAACATTTATGCGATCGTTACAGAATTATCGAAACGCAACTCTGAACCTTCTCGTCGCCGCCACATCGTTGAGAGCGAAGCCTGAATCACTTGATGTTGCTTTAATGTTTTTATAACACGGGAAGAGAGAAAGAGGCATCGTCAAAGTTACAAACAATCATAGACGGAGATCGCAAGAGCGCGCGGTAGAATGAATAAATAACCGAACTTTATAATCCTCAAGTGGATCCGGCTCGAAAACGGCAGCTTGGAGAGAGCTTATAGAGGCACGTAACGTCGCGAGTCGAGAAGCTGCAACTAAGCGAGATAATCTCCCGGGGGAAAAATTTCCTACGGTAATCGTCGCCTGAAATTTAAACGTGACTAATCCGCCTTGATTCCCCAGCAAGCAATTCGCGAATCACCGTGCGCGCGCGCGCTGTCAAACGAACAAATCATCATCACGCAGGGCATCCGCGCGCAATTCGTCAAGCACCTGTCAGCCGAATCAAGGCCGATATCAATATTTATCAGAGCTCGGCTTTGTCACAGGTATGCAAAACTGCTTACGCATCGTTTGGGCGAAGACGTCGGTATGGTAATGCGTCTGGAATGTGTAAACTGCTGTCGCGATTCATGACAATCGAGCGCCCGCGACGCACCTGACGACGGCTGAGATCGCTTTCGCGGTTCGCGTATCACCGGAAATCGGCTATCGCGAGACGCGAGACGCGCGACGCGGGAGAGACGAAGATCGTCTTCTCGGTAACGCCGAGCAAACTCCGGGTGTATATATATATATATATATATATATATATACACACACACACACATATATATATGTGTGTGTGTGTGTGTGTATCCAAGCGCGTGAGTGCGCATTGAAACTCTGAAGTGCACGGGACCGTCGCGTTCCACGTCGAGGACACTTGGCGCGCGCGGCTGAAACAATGCCCGGATAAGGACCTTCCGCGAAGGAAAACGCGATTGCGCGCGGCTCGCGCTTCAAAGTAACGCACGCAACACCGCAATGTGGGCTAATCGATGGAAAAAGCGCGCGAGTTCCGAGTGCCGAAAGTCCGCGAGTGCAGAGTGTGCATCAATTCGCGTTACGCAACCATCACGACCGCGGTCAACATCCGGATGCTCCTCGGCGATCCTTCGCGAGGAAACAATTAGGCGAGCGGCGCTTTATTCCGACGTGCGGAGGTTAAAAGTTCGTCGAGGAAGTTCTCCGGCGAACTCTGGTCGGAACTATCATCAGAGTTGGCGAAGAGCTTCTTCCCTCGCCGCGAGTGCGCGACGGCCGACTCTCGCGATCACGTACCTGTCCTCGGCGGAATGAAGATTTGACGAAGCCGTGCCGAAT